TGAAATCAGCCACGGTAGGAGTATTTCCACGGTGGAGATCAGCAAAGACCACGAATCAGGATTTATTTCTCCCTTGGAGAGCCAGTTGTTAAACATTTACCAGTACCCCATTGGGTGGAACGGGGATGCACACCCACAAGTTTTCCCATTAGGAAACGCCCTAGCACCGGTATCCACCCTCCAAGGCTTTCTTTCGAGTTATGTTTTCTCTTCTCTTGTCCTCATGTATTCTCACATGGCCTCCTCCCTTACTTTATCCAACCATTCTCATGTGTTTAATGTGTATCTTTTTGCTTGTCCACATTCTTGTAAAATATGTTTTGCTGTTCTGTGCACATATATGTTAAATTTCATAAATGGCATTACTAAATATTTCATTTTGTATCTCACTTTTTTCCCTCAGAATGGTTTTTTAAGATCCGTCCATGGCACTCTAGGTACATCTAACCCATTGCTTCTCACTGCTGTGTAGTGAATACTGAGGTGCACCCACCCCATTTTGCCCACCCCCTGCCCAGGGATGTTCTCCCAGACTCCACCCAATCCCCTTGCAAGTACCATAGTGCTTGCTTACTGGCCAGAACTGCTGCCCCAGGCTGCCCTCTCACCAGCAACACACAGACGTGCCTGTAGGCCCATACCCTCGCCTGCCCCCTGGCGTGGTCCAGCTTTCTCATTTTTGCCAGTCCAGTAGAAGCGGAAAGAGAATTACTTTCCACGCACCTTTCCTAAGCTTTCCTTTCCTACACATGCCCGCCCCCGCAGCCTGCTGCTGCTGCCTCTTGGTAGCTGCTACCCTCCAATCTTGCTTGGAATTTCTCCGAGGGCTTTGAACTCCGATGCAGCTTTCCGAGACAGCCACTGCCCTGTTCTCAGACATGGTTGCTGGCTCTGTTGTAAGGTTTTTGTTCATCGTTACTGGCTAACAGACGAGGTGTATCAAAAGCAGGATGGTGAAAGTCTACAATTTTACACGGTCCTGAGGACATGGATCACTCACCGTGCACTTGATTCCTTTGCGGAGCTGTCACCTGCACCCTATGGGCCTTCTATCCTGGGACTTTATTGTTAAAGCTGGAGAGACCTTCCCAAGGCAGACGAGTGAAGCCCCAAAGACTGCAGTCAGGGTAGAGCAGCATGGTCTAAAATGGGTGATTTCTGTTTTGCGGTCTGGACTGGTACTACCCATTCTGGAGCCCCGCCCAGAGGGGTTCTGTCACATACTTCCCCACAGAATGTAAGGAATTTTCTTCAGGGATTGTAGGGCAAATCTCTTAACTCCTGATGGAGACAGAGAACTCAAAGGAGAGGCTAACATGATAGCAGCCAACTCTGGATTCCAGCAACAATCAGGATTAAGCTGAAGAGAAGGCGCCCATCACACAGGGCCTTCCATATGCTGAAGGATATGTCCCTTCACGCCTAGAACTGTGCCTGGCCTGAGATTTCGGCTTGTCAAGTCCAAGGAGGTGAAAAAAGTTTAATACCTTGTGTCAGAAATAGCAGGAACTAGGGGCTGGCCCCGTGGCTGAGTGGTTAAATTCGCGCGCTCCGCTGCAGGCAGCCCAGTGTTTCGTTGGTTCGAATCCTGGGTGCGGACATGGCACTGCTCATCAAACCATGCTGAGGCAGCGTCCCACATGCCACAACTAGAAGGACCCACAACAAAGAATATACAGCTATGTACCGGGGGGCTTTGGGGAGAAAAAGGAAAAATAAAATCTTAAAAAAAAAAAAAGAAAGAAATAGCAGGAACTGAATAGCAGAAAGACCAGGGCTGTTGAGTTCTGCGGCAGCATTCGAGCATACTTAGCAGTCGTCTGTCTGCAAGAAACCAGAGTCAGGAAACTACAGTCCTGCAGGTGTGCCTCAGGCAGGAGTCCAGCCCAGCTCCTCTGCGATGCCCTCAGCTGCCTGCACTGAGCAGGGAGCCACGCATCTCAGGCTGCCTATATCCACGTGCATTCTGAAATTCAGTTTCAGGCAAGAGATGTCAGGTTTTGTGCTGTTTACTATCAGAACCTTCTCTCCAAGCGCAAACAGGCTTCTTCACTACCGATTAATGAGGCTGGAACTTAGAATCATGGAACAGTGCCGAGGAGATAGCAGGCGGTACAAATATTTTTGCTGAATGAATGAACTTTCTTTTGAGACAGAGATGATTCTTACTGCAGTCCTTGTGCTGTTTCCTGTGGCACTGAAAGCTTTCCTGAGTCAAACACCCTCTCACTGGGGCAGATCCAGAACCTCAGAAACTGGATAGTCAGCAAAACCCCAAGTTAAATGGCGGGGGACCATTAGGCAGAGAGATGGAGAATTTTTTCCCGCACAGCTATGCATCAAGAGCATGAACTTCGCAGTCAGCCTGGCCATCATTAGATGCCCCCAGTTCTATGTGACCTCGGCCATTACTTAACCTCTGGAAGCATCTCCATCTGTAAAATGGGGGATAAAAATCTCCACCCCACGGGGTTTCTGTGAGGATTAAATGAAAGAATGTATGTCAGGTCCCCAGCACATCCTGACCCATTAGAGCTCAGAACATGGGAGCTCTTATGAAAAACAGAAGTCTCTGTAATGTAGGGACCCACCGTCACTTCTGAATACACAGCTGTTGTATTGAATACACAGTTGTGGCATTACATACTCTCAAACTCTGTCAAGGACACAGTTCACCCTCTAGACTACAAACTCTATTTAGAAGAACAAATGAATTCTTACTCCTTCCTGCAGAAATGCTCTGGCAAAAACCATCACATTTGGTCAGTGCCCCTAAGCCCTGATGCTGAAGCATTTGTAAACCTGCCTCTTCCCACTGACCTAAAAGCTAAGATTTAGTTTACCATCAGTTAAGAAGCAGTCAGTCTTATTTGAAAACAGGAAACCACTTATTTCAGATCAGATCTATTTCTAATAATCAGGAAAGTGCTAAGCCTTCAGTTTCTGTGATACACACAGCATATCTTGCGAAGTTACTGTAGTGCAGTGGTTCTCAGAGTGCAGACCCCGGACCAGGAGCACCTGGGAACTCGTTAGAAATGCAGATTTACAGGCCCCACCAAGACCTGAGTCAGAACCTCTGGGGGACAGGGCCCAGCCATCCTCTGGTGGTTCCGCCCCTCGTGGACGCTAATGAAGTTCAGCCCACACCCCCTTTACTAGTGCACCCATCCCCTACTGTTGAGGGCCAACCAACCACCCACAGTGGCCCTTCTGGAGCACTGCCCTTGGCCAAAGGGAGCCACCTTGCCAGCCACGCTACCTGCTTCCCTGGGAAAGACCTCAGACAATGACCAACCGGTCCCTTTGCCTCAACTGGGACTAATTGTGCCAAATAATTCATATTCTAGTGCTTCCCAGTGGATGAGAATGAGAATGAAGCTAGACTGTGGTGGAGACCACACTCCTGCTTATGGCCTTCCCTGGCCCCCTCCAGCTTTCGTCCTGCCCCTTCTCATGAGAGCACGTACAGGAATCCCAGCACGGGCTCTGCTCCTAGGGAATCTGGTCCGGGGAAGTCACTTTCAGTCTCAAAAAGCTTACTATCACCACAACATGTCTGTCTACAATCGCCACAATTATTTCTCCCAGGGCAATTCTAAAACCAGAACACTCATATCTAAGATCAGACGAATGGGGCTTAGATGATGTGGGTGACAGGACACCACCAACTTGCAATCGTTTTTGGATCTGACTCTTTGTGTATTGTGGCCCAGGGGGCGTTTAGCTCCTGAGATGGTGTAGCATGGTGGAAAGAGACAGACCCGGGTTCAAATCCTGCCACAGCAACTGCCAGTTGTGTGAACTTGGGCAATATACCTACTTCTCTCTGCTTCCTCACCACAAAACAGAGATCACAACAGTGCCCAAGACACTGAATTGTTACGGGAACTGAGAAAGCGTAGACCACTCAGGGCCTTAGCCTTCTGCTCTCAACAGGCATGATTATGGAACTTACCTCAGAGGGCCTGTGGCAGGATACAGGAGATGACCCAGGTACAGTTCTTAGCAGCGTGCCTGGCACATGGTGTATACTCAACAGATGTCAGGTGCCAGTACAGAGAGCAGGCGGTGAACATTCATTCCTTTCCCACCACTGGCCAGGGGATTTTAGACCTGTCTGGAAGCTCCTTAAAGACTCCACTGCATCTCCCTATTCCAATGATCATAATTAAATTGCTGTGTAGTTCTTATCTCCGAGAACTGGATTTATAAGTAAGCTCACATATAGTGAAATTCTCTGTGAGTTTTATTTTTGGTAGAAAACAAAGATATCTACAGCCAGAAGGGGCTTAAAGAATTGAGCCTTCCTCCAAGTCTTGCTTAAACTCACTTGTGGGCTTAGCGTTCGGGGCTCCAGCTGCTGACCAACCCTATCCTGCCAATGCGGCTCACAGCACAGAAGTGTCACGCACAACTGAGCAAACGCTCAACGTAGGAAAAGCGTTCCAGTCACAAGCCACAACTTCCTTTATATCCTGTGACCCCGCGGCCCCAAAATGAATGTTTCTCTGACATTATTTTTACTATAAAATATCACTTAATGATTTATAGTTAGCCAAAAAGAAGAGGTGAGAAAAACATGCATCCTCCTGTTATCAGTTAATAATATGTTCGCTTTGAGGGACTAATCCTATTTAATCCAAAGTGAAAAGAAAGAGTGAAATGAAGCCCTGCCAGCTTGGCAGCAGGCAGGCGGGTCTGGCACCTGACCAGGAAAGGTAAGAAAAAGTCAACCGCGCCTCCCACTGTGTGGCCAGGAAGCGGTTTGTGTAGAAACGGGCTAGGATTCATTTGGCGACTTCTCAGTCAGCTGTGACAAACCGAAATCCTGTGAACTGTACCCGACACCCAGCGTGTGGAAGCCTGAGAGGCCGACATGCCCTTGAGCATGCGTGTCGCCCCCTGGGAGGGGCTGAGGAGGCTGCATGGAAAGACAAGTAGACCGAGACATGTTCCGAGAGACCTCTGCCCTAAGAAAATAAGATGTTACGAGACTGTGTTTTTTCTATTTTTATAACATTTTATATAACTCATAAAACAGTGCTTGTATAAAAATTCACACAAAGTTGCTACAGAGCATACAATTTCCAAAAAATGTCCTGGGTTTTTGTTACATTCAGTTTTCTAAGGATGCACTCAAATCAATGGTAAAATGCAGACATTATGCAATATTTCATCATCTTTGGTAAAACTATCTTTATTATTTTGTCTCCTCACAGTATTAACTCTGATATCCACTTTGTGCAGGGTCTGCTATCACTAGGATGTCAGAAAATCATTAAGGCTGGATCTACTTGAGGCAAGTATTTCGAATGGCAGGAACAGCCCCTCGGCACCACCACTACTTCATATCGTCTATCCACATGGCCAGGCAGGGTGAGAGCTCAGTGACCTCCAGTCAGGGGTCTGAGACACCCCTCTCAACCAGGCAGGAAGCAAAGATTCAGGGAAAAGGTGGAAACGGAGGCCATCTCTACAGGAACCCAAGGGCCATGCCGTGGTGTGGACAGGCCAGCAACTCCTACCATTTAAACAGCTAATCCACTTACCACTATGTAGATCCCATTGGTTGGTTGATGATTGCTGCTGATGTGGTACCCCCTCCTCCCAAACTTAAAAAGAGAAAGGAAGTTTTGGGGCCAACACTGAAGGGGAGGGACACACTAACATCCATGACACTAGACATGACTTTATTCCCTGTCAGACGTTTGTTGTCATGTAGACACAGCCAAAGTGAACTGAAGCAGGATTAGAACATCTAGTACATTCATGACTATCTTCATACATTCTTTAAAACTTACTAACAGAGAAAACGAGGGACACTACCACCTATTGTGACTTGCTATTTTACTTGACATTAGAACGTGTCTGTGCTAATTCTTCAGTCTTCTGGATAAAAGGTGAAACAAGACAAATCCAAAAAACAAACAAGTGAAAACCAAAAATTTAGATGGGGACAGGGAAAGGGTTTGCCAACAGATTTCATGGAAAACATTAAATTTTGAAAAAAATAAGTATTTTGTACTTCTATTGCTTCATGTAAAAAATCGCCCCTGGAGCCCACCGGGATTGCTGGAGAAATGAGGACACCATACAGACAGACACAGGACCTGCAGGCGTTTCCTGGTGAGACAGTCTGGAGGGACAGGAAACAGCTCTCAAAGTGTGTCCACCTCTCTTCATGAAAGGGGTTCTAAGATTTGGGGGGAAGAAGCCCTACCCAGGAAAGGTATGAAGGAAACCACCAAAGTGTGGTTTCTAAAACTTGAACATGCTCTAGGTTATAAAGAGACATATTTCATTTCCAGAACCTAGAACTTGTTGATTTCTGCAATGTGGGTAGACAGAATATTTTTATTATTAATACATGATTGTGCTTCTGACATTGCAGGGTCACATTCCACCCTCTAGAAAGCAGGGCAATTTTCACATGGCTTGGAATCCTCTTGGCTACATCCTGGAGACCAGAACAAATTCCAGGGCATCCGCCAAGCAGCAGGGCCAGCAGGCGAGTACCACCGCCATCTTTGGGTAGGGCGTGTGTGTGCATGTGTGTGTGCGTGCGTGCATCTGTGTGTTGGAGAGACTAAGGCATAGAGAAAGGCCCAAGTGAGGGGGAAAAGTGAGTCTCCTGGCTGCTCCAGTCCCTTCTTTCCAGGCACAGAGGTTGCAGGTGTTATTCATGTAGGTCCCCTTCCTCTCACTTCAGTGTTTTAGTAAGAAATGTGTGTGCACATGTAAGTGGATGAGAGCGCATCATTAAGTCTCTGTGCATTTCTAAATTTCAATAATTTAGGTCTTCAGTTTTAAGAGAAATAATCTGTAAATGACATTTAAAAGCAAACTTACTAAAGTCAGACCAGCAACTTTACATTGCTCAAAATCCTGCCATTAAAAAAAAAATGCCCACTAGGTGCAGGCAAAATGATGTCACACAGCCCTGGCACTGAAGTCCTCATCAGCTGTATAAAGAAAATTCACAGATTGTTTCTATTCCTGCATTTTAAGGTAGCAAACGATGAAGCCATTAGGTCACTAACTGTAGCGTTCCCAGGGCTCCCTGACTGCCGTGCGTGGGCCAGTCCATGTTCTAGGTGTCTGGTAGGTATTCAGTTTGGGTTGGACTGTTTCCTTTCCCTCTTAGGCATTTGGCCCCCAGAATCAGGCAGGTAAAAGTATTCTTTTTAAGGACTTTACCTATTGGGGAAGTCCCTGTTTGGAACTCCCGGAGAGCACGCCGCTGGCCTGGAGCAGTGCGAACTTCCCAACCAGCGGGGAGAGACAAGATGTCTCAACCTGAGGCCAAGGGGCCAGCCAGATGTAGGACAGCAGGACCTTCTAGGGGGTCTGAGGGGAAAACTCTGCGTGGACCCTGGGAAGGCATATGGGGACCCCATATGAAATGACCTGTGCCCTTCCAATACCAGGTGTCCCCAAGAGGGCCTGAGGCCTAGGCCTGCCCTGAGGAACAAGGATGTGTCCTGACTGGAAGAGCTAACACTGAGGTGTGGTGAAGTCACCATACAGCTCCCAGAACCTGGGTTTTGTACAAATACACACACGGGAAGTAAACAGTTCTTGGTAAGCCCAAAGGGGCCCATCCTTAAATCAAACAAGCCAAATAGCCACACACTGTTTTCCAAGGAAACGTGTCTGCTGCTCCAACCAGCATTCTGGTGTGGCAAGGGAAGGGGGCAGTGGAAGGACACAGCTCAGATGAAGACACTGTGAACGTGTTTCCACGTCTATCTACATTCATATCATCATCATTATCATCATCATCATCATCATCCAGTGTTCTCATCTACAGAGAGTGCGCACAACATTCTACCGACGCAGCAATGACGAACAGACCAGGCCGCACACACACCCCCTCCTTGGCACCACAGTGGAAGGGAGAATGCGACCATGGTCAGAAAGGACATCACTATTCCATCCCCTCTACTGCCATCCAAGGGGCATCTTGACTTTTCTAAAATCAGATGTAAAAGACAAGATTGGTAAAATCGGTCTCTCTACCACCTGAAGCTCTTATTAGCCATCATGCATGAACATGGCACTTCTAAAAATTTCATAAATCTGAAACCATCTTTAAAAAAAAAATCCTAGCAACTGAAGTCATCTTACAGTACTTCATCTCAAATATTTAAAAGATTTTTTCTCTAAGTAAAATGGCCCCCAAAGAGCCCAATGATTTTTTTAAAAAGGGTTTCTTTTTAATTAAAAAAAATTGATAAAAATGGAAGATGTAAAATGTGGGAAGAGGAACAAGAGAGTTGCTGGGTTTGCATTTCAAATTGCGAGGGTCAGGGAGGACACAGCCAGGGAGAGCGTGCCCCACTCTGAAGCCTCTCTGTTCTCACAGCTCGGCTCTCCCCACACTCTGCACCACCAGGGAACACAGGACAGAAGTCCTAAGTACAAGAGACCAAAAACGCAAGGCTTCTTTCTTGTGGTTGGGTGGGTGTGTACGTGTGCAAATGCAGTAAGCCACTCCCCAATGACATAAGGTGCGGGTCTATGGGTACCATACGCGTGCTCCAAAAGAAACGCTCGGTCCGCAGGTTGCCCATCACTTCTCCACTTTCTTGGCTTTCTTCAGGATGTCGCATTTCTTCCTGTTGGGGCGGCGGCACCGCTCGTCGATGCTGGGGATACATTCGTAGTGCCACACCTCCTCCATCTTCTCCACGGGGTAGACGGCTTCCACATAATGGCGGATGAGCCTCAGGCGCGTGGGGTCCAGCTGCTTCTTGTTGCAGGCCCCGGAGTGGTTGTACTGCAGCCGGAGGTTCTCGGCGGTGAAGAGTTCCGGGAAGAGCCGCACAAGCAGCCGGGCGGCGAAGTTGCCCACGGAGAGGCTCTGCTGCACGATCTCGCGCACCTCCTTGTCTGACAGCAGGTAAAGCGAAGGCACCGGGAAGTCGGGCGAGGGGACCACCAGCTCGTCCAGGGGGATCTTGCAGAAGTCCTTGCTGCTTCTCTCGGGAGGCAGCGGGGGGCCCTCAAATTCCTCTCGGAACCTCTCGGGGTTGATTGCATAGCTCGCCAGGTCCCTGCACTCGGGGCCGGGCACGTGGACCTTGCGCTGCTGCTGGTAGGAGCGCCTCTGCTCCGTGTCCCTGCGCCGGCAGCGCTCGTCCAGTTTGCCCACAAACTCCAGGGTCCAGACACGGTCGTTTTTGGCCCGGGGGTAGAGCAGCTGCACGTAGTGGCGGATGAGCTTGATGCGGGACGGGTCCAGTTGCTTCTTGCCCAGGGAGCCGCTGCAGTTGTACTGCTTGCGCAGGTTCTCGTGGGTGAAGAGCTCGGGGAAGAGGTGCACCAGCAGGCGCGAGGCGAAGTTGCCGATGGACAGGCTGCTCTCGTAGATGCTGCGCAGCTGCTCCTTGCTGAGTAGGCAGTCGGCGCCTGGCACCTCGAAGTCAGGCTGCGGGATCTCCAGCTTCTCGAAGTCGATGGGCACCAGCCAGATCTTCTTGGACCGCCGGCCGGGCCGCTCGCCCTCGAAGCTGTCCTCCACTTTGACCACGGAGATGTCGTCGGGCAGGCTGGAGGAGTCGTAGCAGTCGTCCCGCGGTGGCTCACCCTCACTGCCCGCGTCCAGCCCCAGGCCCTCGAGCTCGTCGTTGATGCGCTGGGCGCACTGCTGCAGCCAGGCCTCCTCTTCCTGCATGTCGGGGAAGTAGATCTCCGTGTAGTTGCGGATGATCTGCAGCCTCTGCGGGTCCAGCTCCTGCTTGCCGCCATCCCCGTAGCAGCTGTACTGCTCGCCCAGCTTCCGGTGGTCGAAGAGCTCGGGGAAGAGCCGGTGGAGAAGGAAGACGGCGAACTCGCCAGGCGACGAGGCCTCATCCAGCAACTCCGTGAGGTCCTGCGTGTCCACCACGTGATCCGAGGCGATGGTGCTGCTCCGGTCCAGAGACAGGGCCTCCTCCTGGTCCTTGTTGTCCAGGAAGTGGCCGGCATCCACCTGCTCCGGCTCAAAGAAGCTGGCGACCTGGCCGCCCGGCTGGCTGTCCTCCATTTCCCGCTGGGCCCAGAAGCGGCTGAAGAAGTCGTTGAGCTGCGGCAGGCACTCGGCCTGCCACACGGCCGTGTCCTTCACCGACGGGTAGTAGACCTCCACGTAATTGCGGATGAGCTGCAGGTGCAGCGACTCCAGCTTCCGCTTGGCAGCGAAGCCGCAGGCACTGCAGCCGCGGGAGAAGTCCACGTCGCTGAAGAGCTCGGGGAAAAGCTGCACCAGCAGGCGGCAGGCCAGGTCCCCGCCCGACAGGCTCTGGTCCACGATCTGCTTGAGCTCGGCCGCCGTGAGCTGGTACTCGGGGGGCGGCTGGAACTTGGCCACCATCTCCGTGGGGCTCACCTGCTTCTTGATGCGGCTCACCTCCAGGGAGAGCAGGTCCACCTTGCTGTGCAGCTGCGACATGTTGGAGGAGAGTGTGTTGAGCATGTAGAACATCTTCTGGATCAGAAAGTAGATGTTGGGGTCCCCGTCGGTGGCCGCTGTGGCACTGCCGCAGTCCCGCTTCTGTGGCTCGTTCAGGAGCCGCAGCGGTGAGGGGCTGTTGCCCGCGCTGGCCTTCTCGAAGAGCTCGTAGGTGTTGAGTGCATCCCCCATGGGAGGGTTCTTCTTCTCCATGATCTTGTGTGAGATGCCATACAGAGGCTTCTTGTAGGAGGGGGTGGTCACGTCGTTGCAGGGCTCCTCCTCACCTGGCCACACGGAGCCCGAGTTCTTGCCCCTGCCGGCCTGCTCCCCATTGCCCTGGCAGGGCGAGCTGTTCTCCCGGTTCCGCATGCCTGCCAGGAGCGCCTGGAAAACACAAAGTGTGTTAGGCGGGTGTTCTTTTTTTTAAAGATTTTATTTTTCCTTTTTCTCCCCAAAGCCCCCCGGTACACAGTTGTATATTTTAGCTGTGGGTCCTTCTGGTTGTGGCATGTGGAACGCTGCTTCTCCATGGCCTGATGAGCGGTGGCATGTCCGCCTCCAGGATCCAAACAGGCGAAACCCCGGGCTGCCGGAGCAGAGCGCGGCGAACTTAACCACTTGGCCCTGGGGCCGGCCCTAGGTGGGTGTTCTGATTCACTACACTAGACATGGATCTCTGTCATGCACAGGGGCCAAGGTCCATCTCAGGAGCATGTGGGAAACTGCTTCCCTCACCCTAGAATCCCTGTGCCCAGCCAGGAATGCACCATTAATACACACTTGCATCCTAGCGCCACATCTGCTCACTCTCCCACTTCCTGAGAGAGGCTCAGGCTGGACCCAAAAGGCTTCGAATTCCTGCAGGACACCAGTGCTGGACTTCCCGCCCACAGAGCCTGACCGAGCATAGAGGCTGGCAAAGCCAGGTGAGAACCCCGCTGGGATGGGAGAAAGACCATGGGAACTCAAGGAGCTTCTGTGATGGCCCTGCCCTGGGCAGGTCACCTCATCGACCCCATCTCAGCCTGCTCTCAGACAGGGATAATGATTCATGCCTATGGCAGCTCAAGAAGCAGCAGTGTGTCCTCCAGGCTGCAGCCTCTAGGAGAGCAGGCGTCTTCACTCAGGATGGCTCCTGAGATGCGCGGTGGTGGGCACAGAAGAATGGGGGTCTAGAGAGCGGAATCTGCTGCCAGCTGTACCACTGCCCGGAATCACATCTTATCCTGGATTGGAAAAAAGGCAAGCCCAGAACTTCCCAGAGCTGATGCATCTGTGAGATTCCAAGAAGTGATGGGAACTCCCAGATCTCTAAGTCTTGCTCTCCTTGTTGGTCCAGCAGCCTTTCTCCACCAGAATTCCAGGAGAGAAGCCCAACTGTCCTAAGGCACGCACTGTATGTAATGAATTAACCTCTCTCCTATGCATACTATCCAGCCTTGCTCAACAGAGAGTCTGTGAGAGAACTAAGCCCTACCAAAAGTGATCTACGGACTGTTTTCTCAACTCGCCCAAAGATGGCACACTCCGCAGGTCCACTCTTCTGACTCCCAGGCAAGCTGAAGATGCCCCTTAAGGAGCCCAAACCTTGAGTCCAAGCTCCACCACGGGTCAGACGAATGGCAATCACCCTGACCATCTGGAACCCAGGTGCTTACTGCTTTCATCAATGGTTTTCCCCATTGCCAGGCCCTGCATGTTTTAAGAGGCTTATTTACATATATATGGACAAGTGATTTTTGACAAAGGTTCAAAGGCAATTCAGTGGAGAAAGGATAATCTTTTCAACAAATGATGCTGAAACAATTGTATACACATATGCAGAAATATCTGTTTTTAATCCTATCCAGCCTTGCTCAACAGAGATTCTGTGAGAGAATTAAGCCCTACCAAAAGTGTGCTATATAAAAAAATTAACTCAGGGGTTGGCCTGGTTGAGCAGCGGTTAAGTTGAAACATTCCGCTTCCGTGGCCCAGGGTTTGCCAGTTTGGATCCCGGGTGCGGACATGGCACCACTTGGCAAGCCATGCTGTGGCAGGCATCCCACATATAAAGTAGAGGAAGGTGGGCATGGATGTTAGCTCAGGGCCAGTCTTCCTCAGCAAAAAGAGGAGGATTGGCAGCAGATGTTAGCTCAGGGCTAATCTTCCTCAAAAAAAAAAAAAAAAAAAACCTCAAAATGGACCGTGGGCTTAAATATAAAACCTAACTTAAAATTCTAACTCTTCTAGAAGAAAACATAAAAGAAAAACTTTGTGACCTTGGTTTAAGCAACTATTTCTAAGATACATCATAAATACAATTGATAAGAGAACAAATTGACAAGTTGGACTTCATCAAAATTAAAAACTTCTGCTCTTCAGAAGACACTGTTGAGCCAGCCCTGATGGCCTAGTGGTTAAAGTTCGGCATGCTCTGTTTTAGTGGCCCGGGTTCAATTCCTGGGCATGGAACCACACCACTCATCTGTCAGTAGCCATGTTGTGGCAGTGGCTCAAATAAAAGAACTAGAAGGACTTACAACTAGAATATACAACTATGTACTGGGGCTTTGGGGAAGGAAAAAAGGGAAGATTGGCAACAGATGTTAGCTCAGGGCAAATCTTTCCCAGCAAACAAAACAAAAACAAAAACAAAAAAACACTGTTAAAAGAATGAAAAACAAGCCTAGACTGGAGGAAAATATTGGCAAATCATTTATCTGACAAAGGACTCATATCCAGACATAAAGAACTCTCCAACTCAACAATGACATACAGCCCAATTAATGATTTCAACAGCCAAAGAGGACGTATAAATGGCAAATAAGCACATAAAAAGATGCTCATTAGTAACATGCTCAGTAAAACCACATCACCCCCACCAGAGTGGGTATAATCAAAAAGATGGACAATACCCAGTGTTGGAGATGACGTGAAGGAACTGGAACTCTTATATGCTGCCGGTGGGGATATAAAATGGTGTAACCACTCTGGAAAAGTTGGTATTTTCTAAAAAAGTTAAACATACATGGGATCCTATGATCCAGGTATTCCATTCCTAGGTAGTTATTCACCAAGCAGAATGAGAGCACACAATCATACAAAGACATGTACACAGGTGTTCATGGCAGTCCTATTTGTAAATAGCCCCAAAATGGAAACAATCCAAGTTTTTTATCAACAAGTCATAAAGATAAACTGTGTTGGGGCCTGGCCCTGTGGCCGAGTGGTTAAGTTCACACGCTCCGCTTTGGCGGCCCAGGGTTTCAGCAGTTCGGATCCTGGGCACAGATATGGCCCTGCTCATCAGGCCATGCTGAGGCAGCGTACCACAACCAGAGGTGCTCACAACTAGAATATACAACTACATACTGGGGGGCTTTGGGAAGAAGAAAGAAAAGATTAGCAACAGATGTTAGCTCAGGTGCCAGTCTTTAAAAAAAAGATAAACTGTGATATATTCATCCAATGGGATACTACTCAGCAAAGGAACTGATGAAGATGATACTTTCGGAGTCCTCTCTTTTAAATAGAATAATCTGACTCATATTAGAGAAAGGTTAATTTTTCTCTTGCATCTCTGCAAAAGAAAAGCTACTTTACTCTCTCAGGAATCTTTAGATAAAGGCATTTTTCTAAGTGTTTTAATTATCCCATGAAGCCGGCCAATGCTTTCTTCAGGATTTGTCTGTATAAGCTGATGGAGGTCAGAGGCACCTGGCCCCCTACATCCACCCACCCCACACACTTCCCAAGAGCAGAGGACCAGGGGCATGCTGGGATGGGGGAGCCTGTGATGGGTGGCCTGCCACCTGCCCCTCTCCCTCCGGGGGTCTCCTCACCGAGTTGTCTCCATCCTCATCACAATGCATGATGGTTACATGACGGGACCATGTCATTCTGGAGTCTATCCCTGGTGCCTAGCTAAGTGCCGGGGACACAGGAGAGCTCAATGAGTGTTTGTGAACCGCACGCATGGATGTCAAAGCAGGGCAGGGGTGCCAGCACTCTCAAATATGGGCTGTTCAGATAGGCCACCAGCTTCATGATTAACATGACTGCAGAGAGGTATAAAGGAGGGGATAAGGGCTCAGCTCAGGTTGTCCTCTGTGCAACCTTGGCCAAAGTATGTGATTTTTTATGCCTCAGCTTCCTGTGTGTACCGCAGGGATGAATAATGGTACCCACCTCACAGGGTAGTTGTGAGGACTTAATGAGATAATGTATGTACATAAAGCACTGAGCTGTGTCTGAGTCACAGCAAGTGCTTAATAAATGTGTACTGTTACAACGTGATTACTGTTAAACAATGCTACTCCCAAGCCAGAGCAGAGAGAATACAGCGGGCTTTTTATTCAACTAGCTGTGATGGTTACCCTCAGCCAGCAAACAAGAGGAGGACTTTCCCACAGTGCAGCAGGGGAGGGCACTCGTGGAAGGCACCTCTGAGGTCTGCTGGCCCTAAAGGCTGGGGGCAGGGAAGAGTACAGGAGAAATGAGCTGAAGCGGGGGTTAAGCTCTTTCAAGTTCTTTTGTTCTGCTATCCGGCAGAAAGCAGAGGACTGTGAAGGGAGGGATGGAGGGTGAGAGGAAACCACATACCCACATCAGAAACTTGGAGAAAGGAAGGGATGGAGATGAAAATCTCTACCCCTAATGCAGCCTGTTTGGAACTGTGAGTAGTGACCTGTTAGTAAATGATCAAGTTGAATTGGTGGGTCATGACCAGCATAAGAAGAAAGAAAGAGGGAGGAAAGGAAAAGGAAAGAGAGACAAAAAGAAAAGCAGGAAGGACAAGAAAAAGAAAACAGGACAGAAAATATCAGAGGACATTGTACACAGTAAGTAAATTCAGGAAAGTTTTGTCTTATTTCTCTGTGTGCGCCTAGATATTTACATGCAAATCCATATGTGAGCTGTATGTCTCTAGAAGGTAGATTTATAACTGTGGGTCACTGTTGAAAAGCACTGGCCTAATAAATTCAAAGTGCCTTACTTGCTAATTTTTGTAGACTGTAAATTAGATTTTTAACGTCTTATTCACCATTAAATTCTATTACACCAAAATAATCTTGGTGGTCCCATGGATCCGAAGATAACCATGAAGTTTAACCAATATAGAGAAATCTGAGTTTGTAATTCCAAACATTAAAAAAGTCATAACTAGGGGCCCCTGTGGCAGAGTGGTTAAGTTTGCGCACTCCACTTCGGCGGCCCAGGGTTTCGCCGGTTTGGATCCTGGGCGCGGACATGGCACAACTCATCAGGCTAAGCTGGGGCGGCGTCCCACATGCCACAACTGGAAGGACCCACAACTAAAATATACAACTATGTACTGGGGGGCTTTGGGGAGAAAAAGGAAAAATAAAATCTTAAAAAAAAAAAGTCATAACTACCTTAGG